CTGATTCAGAACATGGTCTTTTCAGTCACTTGCTATGCATCTATGAGCTAGACAATGAAAAAGGATGACAGGAGAAGAAATTGATATCTTTGAATTGTGGTGTTGAAGAAAATTTTTTAATATCCCCTTGACTTGCAAAAGAAATATGTCTTGGAAAAATGACAACCAGAGTGCCCTTTGGAGGCAAAGATGATAAAGTTTCATCTCACATACTTTGTGCATGCTGCTAGGAAAAGCTCTTCCTTTAAGAAAGATGTCATGCTTGGAAAAATGGAGAGTTGGCAAAAAAAAAGAAAGACCCACATCCAGATGGATTGATGGAGTGACTGCTGCAATGGACTCTAGGATATCAATAAGTGTGAGGATACGATAAGGTTCAGATGTGTTGTTCATAGGGTCACTACAGGTCCTGCTGGATTTGATGACCCCTAACCACCACCACAACAACAACATCCTAATATAGGAAGTTCTAGTAATTTAGTGGTAAGGAGTTGTGCTGCCAACCTAAAGTCATGCACTTCAAATCAAGCAGCTACTCAGTGGAAAAAGATGAGCAGTCTCCTCCCTTGAGATTAACAGCCTCTGAAAAACCCGCTGGGAGTCAGTCCCAACTCAAGAACACACAATAATGGCAATTAATACCCTAATAAATTTAATTTAATGTAACTACTTAACTTTAAGGTGGACGATAAAATCAAGGAGGTATAGTTAGAATGTTGTTGTTGTTGACTTCACTACTCCTCACAGTGACCTTACAAAAAACAGATCGGAACTTAACACTCTCACAGCTAAAATTTGAACATCCTTTAAGTTGTTATTGACCTAATGGGCCAACAATTGATTATCTGACTCTAGAAGACACATTGACTAAATTTGCCATATATTTGTTATTCATGCAGCTTGTCACCAAGACATTTACACAGGAATTGAAATGAAAGGAACCAATTTAAATGTATCTAAAGTGAGAAGTGTTGAAGAATGCCAAAAAAGTTGTACCAATAACATTCACTGCCATTTTTTCACATATGCCACAGAAACATTTTCTAACGCAGCCTTCAGGTGAGTAAAATGTTCACTCTTTCTGGTTTTCCTTTTCTAATTAATTGTATTCTGCATAACCACCTTTCTTTTTCCCAATTGAAAACTAAAGAGCATGAGTTTTCAGTCTAGTTTTAATGCCATTTTTCCTGAAGAGAGTAATTTTAATTTGGTCCGCAGATTGGCTATGATTATAAAATCAGGGCCTTTGAGGTGCTATGTTTCGTATTATAGAATAATGTCTCCCTTTCTCACCTTTAGTGCTCCTCTACAGAAAGAAGGATATCCTTGTACTTAATAATGTAAACTCATAGCTTACTCACTGTAAGCTTATCAGTTATTACTTAAATGTTTATGTAGTGTTATTAATGATTGTTTCCCCTGCATATTAATAATTTTTATTCTAAATATTTGTACAGCTGGGCATATCTTGATATTTGGGGTGGGGGGAAGTAACTCCTTTTTTCAATATCCAGGAACAAATGCTTACTAAAAAGCAGCGCAAGAGGAACACCTACTAGTATACAGATGCTGGGTAATGTGATCTCTGGATTCTCACTGAAGCCCTGCGCACTCTCAGAAATAGGTAATTGCAAGACTATTGTTTTAACATGCAGATTAAGGATGATCCTACACTTTCCTTCCCAAAACTCTTATATCCCAACCCTTTTCCCAGCCCAAAGATGTCTATGGCCTAATTCCTAGAATTTGTGACTATGTTACCTTATATGACAAAAGCAATCTTGCATGTTATGGATATTGGGAAGGGAGTAATTGATTATCCTAATATATCTTGACGTGCTTAGTGTACTCATGGTTTTTTTTATGTGCTGACAAGGCAATACTGACTCAAAGCTGTGTCTCCAGAGGGTGTTCAGAGACTATAAATTCCACAAGGGAAGATCTTTCTCCCCAAAGAGCAGCTGATGGATTTGAACTACCTACCTTTGGGTTGGTGGCCCACATTCTTATTCACTAAGCCAGTAGAACTCCGTAAAATAAGGCTGGTGGCAAAATATTAAGTGTTCCAAAGAAAAAACTGAGCATGCTGAGCTTTTGGCTTTGGGTGTGGAGTAAATCGTTTGAGTTGAGGAACATATGCAATATAGAAGTTGGAAAAGACAAATATATGACACCTCTTTGGAGCCTCCAGAAGGGGAGAAGTTTTCCTTTTATTGCAGAAAATCCCATTTTGGACTTCTGACCTTTATTATATAAGATAATAAATTTGCTTTCATATGTCTCTAAGTTTATCACAATTTTTATAATTACTAAGAAATTACTAAACAAGTCATTACTATTATACAAGAAACTATAATTTGGGTTTTTTTTTGTTGTTGATTATTTTTCTTGGTGATGGCTAGATATACAAGAATTGGTCTACTTTAGTGAATCAATATGCCCCTGCTATTTACAAGGAATTTTGTTTAAATTATCCAGAAAGTTACCATGAAATCTCACTTCAGTTGTCATATCAATGATTTAGAGATGTGTCTAAAACCAAAAGCCAATTCTATACAGTTCCCACTGTTTCTGCTCTGTGCCAAGCCTTGTATTGACTTTTGTGCTATGGCCATTCTACACATGTTGGAGCTGGCAACAGTACACCTCTTTTCTCATTTATCTTTTCTTCACTACATTCTCCATAGTGTATACAATATTTTTTGTTTATTTTTTACTGTATGTTTTCTTTTAATATTTAGAACTTTTCTTTTGAGGCTTTTTGTAGGTATTATTGTTGCTATTGTTGTTAGGTACTGTTGACTGATAGCAACCCTATAACTATGAAGCCTATGAACAACCCTGCACTATCCTCACAATCTTTACTATGGCGAAGGTCCTTGCTGCAGTTACTGTCAATCTATTTTGTTGAGGGTCTTCCTCTCTTTTGCAGACACTCTAATTTACCCAGCATGATGTCTTTTTCTAATGACTGGAGCCTCCTGGTAATATGCCCAAAGTATATAAGTTGAAGCCTCATCATTGTTTTCTCTTTAAAAGCAGCTCGTTTCCTCTAGGACAGACTTGTTTGTTCTTTTGGCAGTCCATGTTGTTGTTGTTACGTGCCATCAAGTCACTTACAACTCATAGTGACCCTGTTACAACAGCCCTACTCTATCTTGAGTGAACCTCTTTCTCTCTGACACACCCACCTCCATTATCCCAGTCACTGTATCAATCCATCTCATTGATGATCTTCCTCTCTTGTGCTGTTCCTCCACCCTTCCAAGCTTGATATTTCTCTCCAAGGACTGGTCCCTCCTTGCAACATGCCCCAAATATGGTAGGTAGAGCTTCAAAATCATTGCCTCCAAGGAGCAGCTTGGTTTCACACTTTCCTGGATGAAACTGTTTGTTCTCTTAGCAGTTCGTGGTATATTCAATACTCTTCTCCAGCACCATTTTCAAATATAGACTATGCATACACTATGTATATACAAACTATACAGAAACATAGCTACATAAACTTGTAGATCTAGACAACATAATTCAATGTTATTTACTCAAATGTCTTCTGTTCTTTACTCAACACTGCTGCTTCCAAAGAACTGGCATAATTGTGAACCTACGTCCAGTCATTCTATGTTGCGGTCCATAGTTTGTAAGAATACCCCATAATTCCTATGTCTGTCTGTCCTCCATATATAATTGTCCTATTCTTTGCTTTGATTGCTCATTATATGAGTTCACATATTACCTTAACCTAATTAAGAAAACCATTAAAAAGAAACAAAACTCTTGGACATTTCAAGAAATACCAGCTGCTCAGGGTATTATGTTCTACTGTGGTCACTTTTCAACTTCCTTTGTAGTCATCTGCAATCTATACTTACAATAACGTTGGCTGTGGGGTTAACTAGCCACTTTAAATTCCTGTTTTAGGAGTGATTTTTAGTCATCACTAGAAGTTATTTTTCTTAATTTTACCAAGAAATCCCTGGTTTTATAACAAAATAAACCTGATACTCAAATAGTTGGAATAATGTTTTCAAGGTAACGACACAGGCGGGACTTAAACCTGAGTCTGGGTCACAAATATCATATTCTTTCCCTGGATCTTTTAATATTAAGTCTTCCAATATCACATGTATCAAACTTGTTATATTCACAACTTCCTTTTCCATCTCTCTACGTGGATTTTTAGATTTTAATTCTTTTTTTTCTTTTTTAGTTCATTGTTGCACATTATATTCCCTGCCGCCTTACCCAAGCCCACCTCACAATGCACCCTTTGTTCCGGATTGTTCTTATAAATATAATGCATAATCATATATTCCTTTCAGATAGTTCTTCCTCTATCTGTCCTAATGCAGTGCTCATTATCCAGCCAATCTTTCCCCATTCCCTCCTCAACCCACTCCTCCATGTCTGTCCTATTTTATAACAGTAGTGTTATGCAATACTTGTCCTTTTTGACTGCGATGTTTCACTTAGCATAATGTTCTCAATATTTCTCCATGTTGTGTAATGCTTTACTATTCCATTGTTTTTCGGTGTTGTATAGTATTCCAACATGTAAATGTCTATAGTTTTTCTATCCATCCATTTGTTGATGAGCACTTGGGTTGTTTCCATCTCTTTGCTATTGTGAATAATGCAGCAATAAACTTGGGTGTGCTTGGATTTACAGATTTTAAAGTATTTGGAGCAATCACATTTCTGTGGCTAACTGACCAAGAAAAAATATATTGTACTTCAACAGTCATAAGCTTATCATAATACTTGTTAATTTTTGTTGATATACTAAAAATAGGCTTCAAGTCAATAATAATAAAGCATAAACTAGAGACAAAATCATTCTTGGTCATCTTGAGCAAGCAAAGTAGTTTAATAAATGGACATAGATGGTATAATTCCAATTTCTTACAACATTTAGTTAATATATTGGAAAAATAAAATTCTCTGTAGAAGAACTATGTGTAATTCTCATATTTGTTTCTATAAAGAGATGCTATTAATAGGAGAGAAGAATAACATATTAAAAAGAGTAAAATAAAATTTCTATCTATAGGTTAAGATCTGAAATTTTTGCATTAATTTACTGTTGTTCCATGTGATGCTTTTAGGCATATATATCGTTTTTATTTTCATCAGCTTCAATTTGAACTTAGGAGTAATTGGTGGTCTGTTCGACAGTCAGCACCTGGCCTGGTTTTGACTGCTGATAATGAGCTTCTCCACAGATATAGTCAGGCTGATTCCTGTACAGTCCATCAAATGAAGTCAATGTGTAAACAGTTTGTGTTTCTTTAAAAATGTTGTTATGAATAATAAATTATTGAATGTACAAAATTCAATCATTTGATCTCCAGCCTCATTTCTGTCCCCAAGATCTTACTATCTGATTATCATTCCTTCTTCATTATTTGAAACTTTTGCATTTCAGTCATAAATAATTATTAATGCATCTTGATTGCATGTTTCCTCACTTCTGGACTACAAGAGAAATCCTCAATTTTATTTTCTTTGGCTTTAGTTGTTGGTAAATATATTTGGTAATAGTCATATTAATAGTTATTTTTTGTATGCTTTCTTGTACCAATCAGTCAAGATATTTTAATTAATGATCCTTAAATTGTCTTTTTATCTATGAATGTAACAGTTTTTCATTCCTGACATTGTAGATTACATGATTTTTTTGGTTCAAAAGGATTGATGTCGTCCATCTCAGTTCACTAGAGTCCAGAATATTGATCTTCATGCATTCCATCTCATTAGTTACAACTTTCAGTTTTCCTACATTCATACTTCATAAATTCCACATTCTAATTACTAATGGTTGTTTCTCCTGATTTTGAGTGACTTTCTATCTGGACTATACTCCTCATACCATATCTACCTGCATTTTTCTATTGTGTGTGTGTGTGTAGGATTTTCAAAGACCTGTTTTTTTGCAAGTTGATAACGAGTTCTTCTTCCTAATTTATCTTAATGTAGGAGCTTCGTTGTAATCTGTCTACTAGGTGACTCTTCTGGCATTTGAAACACTGATAGCATAGCTTCTAGCATAACAATAATACACAAGTTACACCACTACAGCAGTCTGACATACAAGTGTTGTACAGATAAAAGCAAACAAGAAATAAGCAAACATATACACATCTAAGTATAAAGTAGTAGTTGTTGTTGTTGTGAGGTGTTGTTGAGTCAAATATGACACAGAGTGACTGTGTGAAAACCAGAGCTGTACCCTGTCCTATCTTGTGCCATCCACAGTCACCATGCCTATCCATCTGGTTGAAGGTCTTCCTTTCCTGGCCCATCCCCCCACTTTTTCTTTCCTAGCAACATGCCTGAAGTGTTGGAGGTGCAGCTTCATCCTCTTTGCCTCCAAGGAGCACTGTGCCTGCAACTTCTCCAAGAACTGTTTGTTCTTTGGGCAGTCCATGAGATATTCATTAATCTTCTCCAACATCAGTTGAAAAACATCAGTTCTTCTTCTGACATCCTTTTCATTATTTACCTACCAGATAGAAGCATAGGAAATGATTGAAAAGACCATGGCCTAAATCAGTCATGCCTTAGTCCTCATACTGACATCATTGGTCCTCAATAATTTGGAGACATCCCTGATTTTAGATTTTC